GGTATATCTCTATATATTATTTGGAATTTTTCTTCACAGGAGATGTGTCCATTCTCCTATGTTTATATATGTAATATTTTATTTATATCAGTGTAGATTCATAGTTTTATACTTTGGGTTATACTCCAATATTATTTTGTTAATTTTGTTGATCAATTCTTCTAGCTTTGTACATTTTGGGGTATACCCCCATTATTGTGAATTTTTTAGTGATGAGGCACTTTTCAACTTTCTGGCACTGTAGGATTCTCCAGGCTCATCTTCAATGTTCTCAGCTCAGCCCTAGATCTGGCCATTTTTCAATGGCAATTCCATGTTCTGGAAGTGGCTTTGGAAACCATGAGAATGCTTCGGTCATTCTTCTAGGCCCTCTCATCTCAAAGAGAAAGGAAATACATGTGTATATATTAGATTCAAGTGATCTTATCTAGACTCAGGCTATCTTTTTTTTCACCCAGTTCCTGCCTGTTGACTCAATTCTTGGACAGAAATTTTTTTCATATTTTCAAGGTAGTTGTGGCAACTCCACAACTGAACAGAGTAAGTCTCCTTCCCAGAATTCCCAACAAATTCCCACCAAGTCTCACTGGCTCCTTTTAGGTCACATGCCAACTCAGAGACTGATCACTATAGCCAAGCAAAATGAGATATTCTTATTAGGATAAGCCAGGGTTATGTGATCCTAGGAATCAGAGCATTGACTCTATTTGAACTGCATGGGCTTAGAACACAGCTGACATGGATTTTCAAACAGATGATACAAAAGAAGGGAAATTATAGCTGTATGGCTGAAAAATGGTGATTTCTTCCAATGTCAATTACCACTACTTTTATGAATTCTGAGATTCTTAAATGTTCTACTATTTACTATGAAGTTTTGAAAGAAAATAAGACTGCCACTTTTAATAAAAAGATGCATCAGTAAATGGCTTGGGCTCTATTGGTTGGAAGCAAATGAACACTCACAAACTCTGAAATTTGAATAGTAATTTATATGTTTGCATATGAATGTTTTCTGATTTGAAAGTACAAATGTGGAGAGTAAACCCATTGTTAGATTACATTCCAGTTTAAAAAAAAAAATCATTTCACTCTTACAAAAATGGAGTATTTAGGCTGGAAGGAAATAGAATCCATTGTCCTTTGTGGTTGTTGCTTCATTTTGATTGTTTCCATTTTTTTTTTATTTGCCTCTCAGGAACATATTCAAAGGGAAACTGGACAGTTTGCTGTTCATTCATCAAAATGATAAGGCACTTTCTTTTTTTCCACTTCAAAGAAGTTTGTAAAATCTTTTTTAAAAGGAAGGACTATAGATGGACAGTGACTGCAATGGGGTATAGAGGGGGACTCGATAATATGGGTGAATGTAGTAACCACATTGTTTTTCATGTGAAACCTTCATAAGGGTGTATATCAATAATACCTTCTTAAAAATTATATAAACAAATAGGCAAGGAATATGAATCAACATTTCAACAAAGAAGATATACAAATGGCCAATAAACACATGAAAAGATACCCAACATCATTAGTCATTAGGGAAATTCAAATGAAAACCAGAATGAGATACCACTTCCCATCCTAGAATACCTGCAATAAAAAAGACAATAACAAGTGTTGGTGAGGAAGTAGAGAAATTAGAGCACATATACATTGCCAGTGTGAATGTAAAATTATAAAGCCCATCTGGAAAATAGTTTGGAGGTTCCTTGAAAAGTTAAATGTAGAATTAACATATTACAGAGTAATTCCACTCTTAGGTAAATACCCAAGAGAACTGAAAGCTTGTCAGCACAAAAGCTTTATTTTTGTACATTAATTTCAAAGCAGTGTTATTCATAATACCCAAAAAGTGGAAGCAACCCAAATGTCCATCAATTACTTAATGGATAAATAAAATGTGTTATATCCGTACAATGGAATATTATTCAGCCAAAAATAAAAGGGGGAATGAAGTTTGGATACATGGTACATCCACGAAGCTTGAAAACATTATACTAAGTGAAAGGAGCCAGACTTTATGATTACTTTTATCATGAAATATCCAGAACAGGCAAATCCACAGAGGCAGAAAATTCATGGTTGCCAAGGGCTGGAGGAGGGTGGGTAAGGAAAATGACTGCTGTTAGTATGGGGTTTCTTTCTGGGGTGATGAAATGTTCTGAAATTATACAGTAGTAATGGTAGCACAACTCTGTGAATATACTAAAAACCACTGAGTTGTACACTTTAAAAAAGGTGATCCTTATGGTATGTGAATTACATTTCAATAAAAATGTTATTTTAAAAAAAAAGGAAGGACTATAGGATAGCATTATAACTGAAAGCACTACTATGATCTAAAGTTTTTTTTTAAGAAAGACTATTACATCTCTTTTAAATTAAATCAGCAATTAAAGCAAAAAAGAATTTCAATGTAGAAAGCTTATTTTAAAATTTATCCCTTGCAAAGACAAACTAGTTTTAAGACATAAGCAGTCACCATAAAAAGTTGCATCCTGTTTTTTATCTGAAGGCAATTATTAGTTTTATTAATATTTGTAAAAAGTTATTTTATTTTATTTCATTGCTTAAAAAATTACTCATCCATTGTAGAAATCTAATGGTTTAGAAAATAAAATATTAAAGATGCTTCTAATTTGAATTTTTAAATGCTTTGCTGCTTGGGTCCTGTGAAATGTGTTTACCTTACAGTTGAGCAACAAACTATCTTGGGTGACTGCTAAATCTGAAGTCCATGAAATGGACATAATGAAACTGGGAATTCTGAATTAAAACTGGTTATTCAGAACCTTTAGAGCATTAGACTTGCAGAATTATAAAATAATTTTTTGGGGAGTGCCATAATGGTACTTCTTCGAGTTTCAAGACTTTTTTTTAGTCTTTTTACAAGAATCTTTCCCACCTCTCCTCTACATAAAGCAGTGGATACTGGCCATAATTTATTTCCGTATGACTCTATTAAAATCTTCCCCTTTTTTGAGTGCTGCATATTTCTAAAAATATCTAAGTTTTGTCTTAAAATATTCATATGTATGTAAGTTCCATATAAATAGAATGCCAAATTTGGGATCAGCATAACACTCAATATTTTAAGTAAATTTTATTAATAATTACTTACTGAAAATATCTGACATACCAGACATGGTAATACTAAGTGCTTTTTACGTATTTAATTTCCTTCACTTTTTATATTTTGATAAGGTGGGTATTAAAATGTTTTAGAGAAGAGGAAATTAAAGTTCCTAGAGTTTAAGTTAAGGTCATACAGAAGAGTCAACAGTTAAACCTATCTGTTAGAAAATGGTATACATCTAAAAACTAAGAATGATAAGAGCCATTATAATGGACCAAAAGAAAAAAAAAATCAACGTGAACATTAATTGGGGACCCTCCTTCATGGTTCTTTCATGCTCCTACATGCCTTGCTGGGTGTGCAAGGCCCTGACCACTTGCTCCCCAGGCTATTTGTCAGGCTGGTGTTCAGAGGAAACAACCTTGAGGGATGAGGTCAATTCCTTTGGAAAAAAGAGCAGGCTTTCTGTAAAAGCATTACATTCCCCAATTTCAGAATTCCTCTCCTATATTTTCAGCCCTTTATAATTTTTCCTTGCATTTAATAAGCACTCAAGGTATGTTTGATGTGAGATGTCAAAGAGAAAGAGTAAGCTATTAAAAGAATAAACACCAATAACGAATTCTCCAACTATTATGTCTAATTGGCACCCTTGATTATTTTAGAAAACAATGAACTTAAATAAAAATAACATCTATTTCTTAGTGTCTACCATGTATCTGGTGGGTTCTTAATTCTTTATGTTGTTTTACCCTTTGCAACAATACTTTGAGGTAGGTAATATTGCCCCACTTTACGAATGAGGAAACTGAGGCCTAGAAGCATTCAGTAAATTTTATTAACAGTTATTTATTGAAAATATCTGATATACCAGACATGGTAATACTAAGTGTTTTTTACATATTTAATTTCCTTCACTTTTTATATTTTGGTAAGGTAGGTATTAAAATCTCTGTTTCAGAGAAGAGGAAACTAAAGCGCCTAGAGTTTCCGCACTTTGCATAGCTAGTAAAGTGGTCAACACTCAGGCTGTCCATCACATTAGGAAGTTACCGTTTTATTTTTGGTAATCAGTGGGAACTTTTGTAATGAGTTGCTATTTGGAATACAGTTTTCATCAGAAATGTTGAATGAAAAGAATCTGCAAAGGGCTTCTGATGTATGCATAATACAAACCTGAGGAAGATCCTGTAAAAGGACTGCACTGTGATTGGGCGAATATCATTTATTATACGTCAGGGTAGGGCCATTTATATCTCATAATTATTATGAGAGTGACTTTACCTTGGCAAGAATCCACGCTACAAATACTATTATTCCAAGTCTCAGTGTATGTATGAGATGAAAAGTCAAAACAAATGTCCGGATAGTGAGTTTTAAAAAAGCAAATGAAAGGAATTGACTAAGGAGACCACCCTAGTTTTTTGTCAACCATCTAAGGATGGTAGTTCCACTGGGCCAGTCTCTCAATTATGATTTCTAGGATCCCCCTTTTTTTTCTTCAGGCACTGAGGATCTTCCTGTTTTCCAAGAGTTTTTCCTGGGGACAACTGGGACCCTATACGCATCTAAAATCCGGGAGGCTGATGATGGGCATGTAAGAACCAAGAGAAAGGCAAGATAGGGAGGAAAATGATGTGAGAAAGAAATGCTAGGGTCAAAACGAAAGATAACCAAGCTGCCTCGGTAAGAAAATGTCATCCAAGCCCGCAGTTTCTCCCATCTGATCTCCTCCACTCCAGAGGCTGCGTCCCTCTCAGGGTAACTAAGCAACGGCGTTGCCGCGGTAACCCGGAGGGGCGCAGAGGGCACCGACGCCACGGGCTGGGCAGCCCTACTGTGCCCGGGGCTGGCCTGGCGGGAGGGGTGAGGCGTGGGGGCTGTTGGCTCTCGCGAGAGCTGCGTGGGGTCGTCGCCCAGCGTCTTAACGGTGGTTCCTAGGGACGCGGGGGGCCGGCCGGGGGCGAGGGCCGGGCGCGCCGCCGATGGCTGCTCGGCAGGGGATGGCCACCTCGAGGGTTCTGGAAGAAGCTTTGGGTTTGGGCTCGTCGGCTGCCGGGGACGCCGCGGACGCGGTGGCCGCCGAGGGCGCCTACTACCTGGAGCGTATCCTTCCGTGTGGGCGCGGCCTCCGGGTGCCGGCCGCGGTAACGGGTGTGGGGCGAGGGCGCGGGCTGCCCACTGGGGGGCGCTTTACGAGGCCCTGCGCCACCGAACGCCGAAAGGCAGGTTGACTGTCAAGGCGGCGTGCCCGCCAGCGCGCCCCGCTTTGAGCCTCCCACTGAATTTTTCGCCTTCTAGGGCTGTTAAGCTGCCACTTTCCTGTTGGAAGAGGAGTTGGAAGACCTTCAGGAGTCTCGCACTTAACCACTCAGCAAATTTAGGATGGAAGTTTTATGAAAGGCGGTGCAGCCAATTGATCCCAGCCGCTTTCCCTTAGTGGTTATCCTAAATAGCTACCCCACACCCCTCAAACCTCCAGTATACCCTCCCAACAAATCGAATCGGGAAAGTTTGGGGTTTAGGGCAAGACTTCTGCTTTTGGGCTTTAAACGAGCTGAAGCTCAGAGTATCCAACCCATAATCCTGTGGATGGTTCGATTGACCAATCTAAAGTGTTTTTTTGGTAGCATCGACTTCTTCCTGGCTAGTTTCAATTTTGGCTATTTAATAATTACTTTTTTTTTCTTTAGCAACTAAATGATGACCTTGGTAAGCTGACAAGGCTTAGAGATTTTAGGAAAGAACCAGATAGTAATGAGCGATTATCAATGGAAATATCAGAAAAATTCAATAGCCATATGTGAATAATTAGGTTCACTAGATCTTGTAAGGGTTTTGAGTCTCCCCCTGTAGGCATATAGATTGTACTGGAGAGTTTTGTGTGTTTGGGGGGAAGGATGAGGTGGGGTGGGGGAATTCATGAGAAAAAGATAACTATTCCTTTCTGCAGGCAGGTAGGAGAGAGATGTTTATCAGTTTTATTCTTAAACATATCAAGAAATCTCCAGAATCTCCCTTAGCTTATTTTTCTGTCCAACTCATGTCTCAGCTCTAATGGGAGACTTCAGAGGTCCAGCAAGGATTGATTTTGTGGGCTTTGACAAACTTGCTAATCTGTCCTGACTCAGTCTTAGTATACCTGAATATTGAGTATACTAGTATACTCAGTATACATTAAAAGCTACAAGGGGCTTTGAAGAAGTAAGTTGAAAAGATCAAAATAAATGTAGTGTTTTATTCAATGCAAACATGATTTTTACAGGAATGTAGCTTTGAATATTTTGAAGTCAGTATGAATGAAATTTGTGGGTGCTCTAATGTGAGGTTTTATACTCTTCATAGCTCTAACAAGCTTTTCCAGTAAAATTCCTTTTAAAATTAAAAAAAGGGTCAACATTTTTTTTTAGAGGTTATGTATATCAAGTATAAAGTTATCCAGTGACCTTGCTAGTGAATGACAACCAGGCATCTTATTTTTTCCTGTATTAAAATGATTTCTATAACACATAGTTTAATTGTTAACATGAAACGAACCCAATGAAGTAACTTTTTGCACACATCTCTGTGAAATAAATGGTGGGACTCAAATACAGCACAAGGTTCAACAGTGAAAATCAGGTTTACTTAATTTGCAGGGAGGTCCCTGAGTCACAGCTGCCAACAGATAGCAGTTTACAAAAACCCTATCCTTCAAAGATTTCTCCAAATAATCCCATGAAAATATAAGCAACTCTAACTTTTCAGGATTGAGGTATGTAGTTTGTGAATTATCCAACCGCTTTACTTTTGTTCCTTCTTTCTTTGTGAAAGGCTACTGGCTACTATTTTGGATTTAACGAAAGGGTAATTAGGGGATAAAAAATTTTAAACATTTAACCAGTCAGTTTTCCTACATTCCGTGTTCAGGTAAGAGGTTTAGTCATGGGAGAGGCTTTAACTTCTAGTTAAAATAAAGTTTGTGGATCACTTTTGAATGCCAGTTATCCCTGTATGCCTGGGCTCTCTTAACATGCGCAATTGAGTTGATGGCATAATGTTACTTGACATTGTTTCTTAAGGCAATTATAATAGTTACTGAAGTGAGACTTTCTTGGGTTTAAACTTTTTAGCTCTTAGGTAATGTAATTGAGCTATTGAAGTGGGTAAAAAAAGTTCTAATATACACAAATGAATCAGCAGTCTGATACTCTCTACTTGAGACATATACTTGCTCACTTCTAATCTGCTGCATTTGGTTTTGCACTTCGCTTATTTGTGACTGAACAGATGTGCCTTAGAAAATTAGGTAAGGTATTGTTATTGAGCAAGGTTTTGGAAGAGGTTGACTCTAATTCTCCAGGAAATCACAATTTTCTTTGCTTTGAAATATTTGAAAATAAAGAACATGCACATTCTAAAGTGGCCCAAACCAGAAGCATAGCCAGGATCCACTGTGGGGGGAATGGCTTATTAGTTAAAAGCCCCATATTCCTTAGAACAGTTCAGAGAATGTGATCAGGAAAAAGAATTCTTACCCCTGCAACACCCCTCCTTTGTAGCTTTCTGGATGTAATAGTGTCATCTGTTTTTTTCCCAAAGCTTTCACAGTATTCATTGCTTTTATGTTCTAAACTTCCACAAAGCGAGATACAAACACACATGCACATAGTTCTGTCTTTCTTAACTATTTCTAGAGTTTTAAGAAATCTAGTCATAAAATAGATGAGTCTTCTGTAGAACTCTTCGTTGGAAAGGTATTTGCAATATTGTAAAATAGAAGGCTAGGTTTTAACTGTGCAATTTGTAAAGGGCCAAGTAGGTGTTTCTAGAATTTGTAAAGAAGGTTGGTTATCTTTTGTGAGTGAATTCTCTAATAGAAATCAGTATAACTTGGGTGAGGTTTTCAGTTACAGTAGTGACCTGGGGCTGCCTATTAATGTGTGGCTATGGACACCTGAGAGTGCCTAATCCCTTTGGGAGATGCAGACTAGAATGAATTGTACTAAGAAAGCTAATGCTTAATTGATTTTGTTGCTACTTGTCTAAAGAAAGACCTTGTTCAAGGAAGAAAAATGGAATACATGGACACTAGGAAAGTGGAGGCCCAAAGTACTGCTTTTGTTACCTACTTCCACTTGTATTGATTGAATGCTCCCCTAATTAGCTTTTGATTATTTTTCATCTTTCTAGGTATTATTCTGACACTAAGAGTTTGGCTTCTTAGGTCATGGAAGCCAAATTGCTGGCCACTGAAAAGGTCTCCTCTGGCCCCAACAGTAATTTCTGAGGGCTCAGTGAGTTTAAGCCTGTCATTTGAGGCTAATCAACTCTGAATTCAGTTCCAAAGTCAATTGTTTTTGAAAAGGCAAAATTAAGGATTCCACTAAACTGATCACCTGAAATACTGTGATCATACTAAACTGATACTCCATCTAAGATGCCTGCTTGTCTTTGTAAGTTACATCCCTAGCCAGTCTTTTATTACAATAGTAGTGTTCACTGATAATTTTGTTTAATTAAAATTGAACATTTGTCTTTTAAAAAATTATTTTGTTATTTATGGTTTTTAACATTTAGTAACCCCTCCCTTCCCCTCCTCCTACCCCCATGTTATAAAATGTTATTTCTCTGAAATATTTGTAGTATTGAGTGAGAATATATTTGTAAAATCCTAAATGGCGTTATTTACTCAAGTAGGGTATTTCTTATTGTCACTGGAAAACTGAATGTGCCCCTGGGTGCTTACTTGCACCCTACATATATTCAGATAAAAAAGATAGATAGTCCAATGTAGAATGTAGAGCAAAAGGCATGTTACTAAACCTGGAGTGTTGAGTTTTACACGCATGAAAGTCATAGGCTATTTGGAAAGATAAAGATTGTATTTCTGTGTCCTCTAGTCTAGGCAAATGTTAATGTGCATATGAATCAATGATGTGGGATCTTTAATGAGGATTCTAATTCAGTAAATCCTGGTCAGGGCTGAGATTCTGCATTGCTAACAAGCTCACAGGTGCTGCTCCCATTGCTGGTCTAAGGACTGTGACTGGGGTAACAAGTCTATAGGTGAGTATCATAACATCTAGCCTTTATTTTGTCAGATAGAGGTATATATAATATAGTATGTGGAGCCCATATCTTTGGATCTCTTGGCTTAGAAGTTGGAAAAAATTATACCACCATGTACTATGAGAATTACGAGTCATGTGTTGAAAGGAAGTCATTTTCCAGCTTCTGAGGCAGAAAATACACAATAGCTGTCTAAGGCAGGGGTGGCCAATAAATTTCGACTCTTGCCAAGTCTGTTGAATTGGTAGTGGCTCCCTGGTATGTGGTGTTAATTAGAATCCTGAGACCTCCTGAAGACTCAGTGGGAAAGACTGCAGGAAGCAAACAACAATGGGGAAAGTGGCAGGAAGCATGCCAGTTATTTGCCATCTTTGGTCTCTAACATTCAGTTAACTTACATTATTTAAATTGGCATTCTTACGAAAGGGAACATAACTGTGATGTTTGCTATTTACCATACTTTTATTTCAATTTAGTAAGTAAAGTGTTGATCATGGAGGAGCCAGGCTAGAATTCAGATTGCCTCTGGGTGCATTGACTCTGCAGTGATGGCAAAGATCACAAAGCAATTTCTGTGTATAGTGGCTTTGGGAAATCATGTAAAATATAATTAGCTACATGTTTCACCCCAGTTCTTTATAAAGATGCTGCTGCTGGCAGTGATCACTACCTGCAAGTGCAGCAATGGAAGAGTCCAGTGTGTGAGGAACTTTGGATGCTGCTTACATCTGAAAATTGATCATAGCTTTCTGGCTGTGGTCCATTTGCAGAACCTTGTTTGTGACCCTGTCATACCAACTGTCACCTCAAGCCCTGCTCTACTAGGCCAGCTGAAATTCTTTTCTGAGGCTTCTTGCAGTTGTGTCTTCTGTAGTACTGTGTTGGGTTCAGGGCTCCCTGGTAGTTTCAGTGTGGGTGTACAATGACCTATTTTCTGGTAGGATCCATAAGGTCAGGATTTGGTGCAGACTCTACCAATGCAGAAACTACCAATTAGTTCACCCATTGTGACCAAGTGACAGGAGATGATTAATACCATGCAAAATCATAGGTACTACTACATTCCTTCTAGAGCAAGTGGAGCTATGGAGGAGTGGGGCTTTCGGTGTGAGGGTAGACTCTGCCCTAGAATACAGAACCTGCTCTAGCAGTAGGTGGGCTGTGGGCTGCAGCTGCAGGTGGGAGGAAGGGGAGCCACAGCCTGGAAAGCAGAGTAGAGAACCAGGCACCGTATTAAGTGTCAAAACAGAAAGGCAGGATCCATATTTGAGGGGAATAGGGCAGAAAAGAAATGAAATTTGGAAATTAAGTTCAAAGATATTCTTTGAAGGAATACTAGGCAGATAGTGGGGAGTTTTGTAACGGCTTACAATCAGCTTGTTGTTAACAAACTGATTTTAGCCCAAAATGCCAGTTTATTATTCTGCAGTGGATAAATAACTGCATGAGAACTGTGACCACTTTAATTGTATGGGCATTTTCTGGAGAACAGGCTCACCTGTGAGATTACATTACAGATGCAAAAGTTGTACAGTTAAAGTTGAACCAGAGTAAGGGCTTTATCTTTCAGGCAGTTCTTCATGAATTGTCCATTTCCATTCTGGCAATACTATTTCTAAAGCGGTGCTTTCCAACCTTTTTCTCACATGGTACTCTTATCAGATCCTGCTTCACTCTGTCTTGGTGGCTCTCCCAAGGTTCAAAGGGATCAATATCTGCACAATCCACAATGTGTTCTCTGTGAGAACCTAAGAGTAATTTCTCTCAGGCTTTGGAATCAGAAATTACACATCTGCTCAGAAACTCATCTGTTTTTATTGGATGAATATGGAATTGGTATCTGATTACATTCCCCTGTTTACCTTGACTGCTGGGAAGCTTTGAGTCAAACTTGTGGCTTATGGTTAACAAAGTTGGTGACATTTTTTGACATATACTGAATCTTTATCTTATTTCTACTGTTTCCCTTTCTCCTCTAATTTCCATATTCATTTATTTTTATATTTTGCACTGTATGCAAATTTGTGAACTGCCACAGAATTGTTTGAGGATTCGTTTGTACATTTTTCCATTTGTTGCTAGCCAGCTAGTCAGATAGATGCATTGAAACATACATACCGAAGTACATTTATTTCTTCAGAAATACTGCAACATCATATTTCAATTGAGTTGCTTCTGGAAAGATTCTGTTCAAATCATTTTGTGGATACTAAAAATAACAATTGAAAATAGTGATTCCTATTTTGCGTGCTTGTCCTTTTCTTGGCCTTTTATTATTAATCTCTTGCCCTTGGTTAATTTAATCTTTGGGTCTGTAGTCCTGTGGCTGTTTTATACTTCTTCCTCCTGTAAATTCAGCTAGTTAAATGATTTGAGTTTAGCTGTTGGTAACAGAACAGTTGAGAATTTGGAAAACAAATAGGTGAAAGTTCCTTGGGTTATTAGTAAAAATTTCATATTCCTGTTGTGTCATTTTAGAAACAGTATGGTACAGTAGAAAATTCATTCAAGAAGCATGTCTTTGTCACTTACAGCTAGGTGATTTTTTTTTCTTTTTTTTTTTTTTTTTT